CCAAATAAAAGGACAAACGATTACAGAAAGAATTGGAAGTTCCCATAGGCCACATAGAGCGAAAATGACAAGACCTAACTTGCCAAATGGGGTTATTTTGCCCAAGTGTTGGGCCTTTTCCTGCTCGGTAGACCACCAGCACTCGGTACAAGACACCAAACCAAAGGAAAAACGATTACAGAAAGAATTGGAAGTTTCCCATAGGCCACATTGAGCGAAAATGCCAAGACCTAACTTTGCCAAATGGGGTTATTTTGCCCAAGTGTTGGGCCTTTTCCTGCTCGGTAGACCGCCAGCACTCGGTACAAGACACCAAACCAAAGGAAAAACGATTATAGAAAGAATGGGAAGTTTCCCATAGGCCACATAGAGCGAAAATGCCAAGACCTAACTTTGCCAAATGGGGTTATTTTGCCCGAGCGTTGGGCCTTTTCCTGCTCGGTAAACCGCCAGCACTCGGTACAAGACACCAAACCAATGGAAAAACGATTACAGAAAGAATTGGAAGTTTCCCATAGGCCACATAGAGCGAAAATGCCAAGACCTAACTTTGCCAAATGGGGTTATTTTGACCAAGTGTTCGGCCTTTTCCTGCTCCTTGGACCGCCAGCACTCGGTACAAGACACCAAACCAAAGGAAAAACGATTACAGAAAGAATGGGAAGTTTCCCATAGGCCACATAGAGCGAAAATGCCAAGACCTAACTTTGCCAAATGGGGTTATTTTGCCCGAGCGTTGGGCCTTTTCCTGCTCGGTAGACCGCCAGCACTCGGTACAAGACACCAAACCAAAGGAAAAACGATTACAGAAAGAATTCGAAGTTTCCCATAGGCCACATAGAGCGAAAATGCCAAGACCTAACTTTGCCAAATGGGGTTATTTTGACCAAGTGTTGGGCCTTTTCTTGCTTAATAGACAGCCAGCACTCGGTACAAGACACCAAACCAAAGGAAAAACGATTACAGAAAGAATGGGAAGTTTCCCATAGGCCACATAGAGCGAAAATGCCAAGACCTAACTTTGCCAAATGGCGTTATTTCGCCCAAGTGTTGGGCCTTTTCCTGCTCGGTAGACCGCCAGCACTCGGTACAAGACACCAAATAAAAGGACAAACGATTACAGAAAGAATTGGAAGTTTCCCATAGGCCACATAGAGCGAAAATGACAAGACCTAACTTGCCAAATGGGGTTATTTTGCCCAAGTGTTGGGCCTTTTCCTGCTCGGTAGACCACCAGCACTCGGTACAAGACACCAAACCAAAGGAAAAACGATTACAGAAAGAATTGGAAGTTTCCCATAGGCCACATTGAGCGAAAATGCCAAGACCTAACTTTGCCAAATGGGGTTATTTTGCCCAAGTGTTGGGCCTTTTCCTGCTCGGTAGACCGCCAGCACTCGGTACAAGACACCAAACCAAAGGAAAAACGATTATAGAAAGAATGGGAAGTTTCCCATAGGCCACATAGAGCGAAAATGCCAAGACCTAACTTTGCCAAATGGGGTTATTTTTCCCGAGCGTTGGGCCTTTTCCTGCTCGGTAAACCGCCAGCACTCGGTACAAGACACCAACCCAATGGAAAAACGATTACAGAAAGAATTGGAAGTTTCCCATAGGCCACATAGAGCGAAAATGCCAAGACCTAACTTTGCCAAATGGGGTTATTTTGACCAAGTGTTCGGCCTTTTCCTGCTCGGTGGACCGCCAGCACTCGGTACAAGACACCAAACCAAAGGAAAAACGATTACAGAAAGAATTGGAAGTTTCCCATAGGCCACATAGAGCGAAAATGCCAAGACCTAACTTTGCCAAATGGGGTTATTTTGCCCGAGCGTTGGGCCTTTTCCTGCTCGGTAGACCGCCAGCACTCGGTACAAGACACCAAACCAAAGGAAAAACGATTACAGAAAGAATTCGAAGTTTCCCATAGGCCACATAGAGCGAAAATGCCAAGACCTAACTTTGCCAAATGGGGTTATTTCGCCCAAGTGTTGGGCCTTTTCCTGCACGGTAGACCGCCAGCACTCGGTACAAGACACCAAACCAAAGGAAAAACGATTACAGAAAGAATTGGAATTTTCCCATAGGCCACATTGAGCGAAAATGCCAAGACCTAACTTTGTCAAATGGGGTTATTTTGCCCGAGTGTTAGGCCTTTTCCTGCTCGGTAGACCGCTAGCACTCGGTACAAGACACCAAACCAAAGGAAAAACGATTACAGAAAGAATTGGAAGTTTACCATAGGCCACATTGAGCGAAAATGCCAAGACCTAACTTTGTCAAATGGGGTTATTTTGCCCGAGTGTTAGGCCTTTTCCTGCTCGGTAGACCGCTAGCACTCGGTACAAGACACCAAACCAAAGGAAAAACGATTACAGAAAGAATTGGAAGTTTACCATAGGCCACATTGAGCGAAAATGCCAACACCTTGCTTTGCCAAATGGGGTTATTTTGCCCAAGTGTTGGGCCTTTTCCTGCTCGGTAGACCGCCAGCACTCGGTACAAGACACCAAACCAAAGGAAAAACAATTAAAGAAAGAATTGGAAGTTTCCCATAGGCCACATAGAGCGAAAATGCCAAGACCTAACTTTGCCAAATGGGGTTATTTTGCCCAAGTGTTGGGCCTTTTCCTGCTCGGTAGACCGACAG